TGACTAAAAAAATACATGCTTATAGAATTCAAAACAACATTGTATGATATATGTGTGCAGTGCGATATGCATTAACGTGTTTGTGCGGTTAAAATGTAGTCATTGAAAATGACGGAATCCATAAACTTTATTAAAAATAATCACTTAAATCCAAAGTATTATAGTAATTATCAATTATTAATGCATACGAATAATGACTAAAAAAATACATGCTTATAGAATTCAAAACAACATTGTATGATATATGTGTGCAGTGCGATATGCATTAACGCGTTTGTGCGGTTAAAATGTAGTCATTGAAAATAACGGAATCCACATAATTTATTAAAAATAATTACTTAAATCTAAAGTATTATAGTATAATCAAAATTTATTTAAAGCTTACTGTATAGAATTATTGCTATGTGCGTGCAATATGCATCAACACGTAAAGCGTAGTTTGAAAATAACAGAATCTATTTAAAGCCTGTTACGAATAATGACTATTATACCGTAGTAATTATAGTAATCAGCATTAGTGATCTGATTGGTCAATATTTGGCGACGGACAAATAAGCTTTAATATATAGATATTTTAATACATTGTAAAATTTTCTTTAGATATTTTAACAGCCTCAACATGATGAGATATGCTTACCATGAGATTACAGTGAACAGGAATATCTATTCTTGGTCTTTCCTTTTGCAAAAATTTAAATAAATCTGTGTCACTAGTTGGCAGAGGTTACGCTTATAATTTGACACTTCAGTTTATCACAAATGTGTTCAATATGATTGAAATAAGGATTTTACATATATTTTTTTCAATTTGTTTTTTTATATATTTTTTACTTAATACATAATTTGACACAATTATTGATTTGAAATATAGTAAATAACAATTTAGTGTTCCAAATAGGTCGGGTCGGTCAGGTTCGGGCGGGTTACTGTATACGGGATGAAATTTGATTGGTTATTTGAACACTTACTTTCAACGAATTTTTTACAGAAACATTTATTTTTCTGCTTGTTTCCAAATTATCTACACTATTTAAAATCTTTCCCACCCATAATTTTTCTTAATTTCGTTTATTGACAATTAAATTACATATGCGTTATAGTATTTCGTTAAGCCTCTGTGTCCATCTACCCTACAAGCAAATTGATCAGAATTACCACGCCGAGATCATGAGCCTTCTGGTGAGCCAGAATCGTTATGGGGAAAATCAATCCAAAAGATTTCGGTCCTAGAGCACAAAGGGATACTGTAAAAGGTTTAAAAGCAAAAAAGAAAAAGTACGAGAGGCTGCAGAAGCGAAAGAGAAAAAAAAATGAAGAAAAGAGGAGAGGTTCGTCTTATATTATCCCTTTTTTATTTCGAGTTATTTTTCCTTGTTATTTTATTAAATACAATTGTTTCTTTAGTGTATTAAAAAATAGCATATGGATATTCTAATGTATTGACGGCTACCGAATATTTTGATGGGTTATATCTCATAGACTACGGACAAAATAGACTCGAGAGATATAAGAATTGATCTTAACATTCATTTATCAAAACTTCAGTGAACAATCTCACAATGTAATTCAAAGTGCTGCAGACGACATTCTGCAAAATTAAAAAATGATTTACTCAAGGATTTGACAAGAAAAGAAATATTGAAACGATCATTGGTCCTATTGCACCAGATAGATTTGCGCAGCTAGTGAATTTGGGGAAAAATAACAGATTATCATCCTGGGGATGACATGAATGACAGTGAACTTTCAGGCGAGAGTAGTAATTAACTTGGAGTTTCCGTATTATTTGATGAAAAGGAAGAGGAAGATGAATTTGAAAAATACGAAGTTAAGTCCGAGGAGGAAAATGTGTAGAAATATTGAAACGGCGTTGGTCAAGTTGAGAGGGAAGAAGATAAAGAGTTTCATTCAGATGAAGAAAACGAAGGCTTCCGAACTGTTATTGGTCTAGATACGCCAAATAAAAGGTCACTGGTGCACAGGCTTTACAAAAATATCTCCGCATAATATACAGTAGATGCCTTCTGGCTTCAGCGTCTGATATCAAATTACTATCCGCATCCATACACCGCACAAGAAAACATGGCGGATATTATGCAAATACTTACAGAATACTCGTGACTGCAAAAATGAATTAATAAATCTTTTTGATTATGACAAAATGGATCTAGTCAATATATTGACAAGAAATAGGGAATTAATTTTATGGTGTACGAAACTTACCAAAGCTGGAACAGACAACGCTAAGCGACAAAGTATTGAACGCGAGATTTCGAGCAAGGATTAGAATATATTTGTAAAGCACTTTGAGAAGAGAGAATTCATCGTGGTGAAGGTACCACTCAGAAAGGTGTAATTGAGGACGAAATGGAAATATATTATAAACTTGTGCCAGCACATGGTTTAATTTCTGCTTCTGTCAAGGCTATTTTTCCTCCGGTAATGGTGGCGATACCTAAAGCTGTAATTGATTTCGAATCACTAATTGTTACACGTGGAATTTAATGTCTATAAAGTGCAAGCTGCCGGATGGATCTCATAAGATTTCTAAAATATTGAAGATGATATTGATTTACTGGGAGTGCAGGCGAACATATTCCGTTGTTATTTGTGAAGAGGTCGGATGCGGAAAGGTAATTATTATTATGTATTACTATGTTTATTTATAATATTACTCAATTCTGATTTCGACACCTTCATATGGGTATCAAGGAGAATGTCATTTCGCAATTCATGACCGAGGTCAAACAATATGCTAGGGGGAGAAACCTGGATATCTTTGACGAAGTAAACACATTGGTCTCCTAGTAAATCTAATAGCTCATCGAATAGCTCATCGAATAATTCATCGAATATATCGTGAGAAACCGATTTATCATAACATCCGAATATTTGCCGCATACAATCCCTACCATTTGCAAATGAGTGTCGGTGTGGCTGGTTTAGAATCTAAAAATTCGAAGAGCAAAGTAATCTTGTGTACGAAGTAAGATCACTTTCTGATAAAATTCTTGATTATGTTTAGGTTTATGGTGTGCTTAAACAGGAGGACATAAAGCGATATATTTAGATAATGGTAAAAACACAATTGCCTCGCAATAATTTATTCAAGTAAATGAACTATACGTCATTAGTTCGCACCCTTCTATAGTTGGAGATTTGTCTAGCATACAAGTTCGTTCATTTATATTGGCATAATGTTTTTGTTATTAGTTAGATTGTATGAAAAGTTATCGCGTTTGAAATATCGGGAATAATGATTAACTCTAGAATTTATATATTTGTACGGCTTTCAGTTTATTTACTCAATACAGTATACTGTATTATAAAATTTTATACACGTTTATATTTATTATAATTAAATAATAAATTTTAAACTATAGCTTCAGATTTAACGATTTTTCTAATTATAAAAATTCATACATTATTTATATTAATTTGATATTTATTTTTTTAAACACAGACTGAAAATATTGAACGGGTCAAACGGGTCAAATCCGATTTTGACACAATCCGATTCTGACCCAACCCGAATTATAAAATTTTGGGTTGACTCGACCCATCCGGAACACTATAATTATTTAAATATTAAACTTTTTAAATATTGTAATAAATAATTATAAATATATAATATTTTTGCTCATTCTTAAACTAAATCATATCAAATGCAACAAAAAAAAACAGATCTTATAATCAATTTAAGATTTACTAATTGTGATCTTTCAACCTTAAGTTTTAATATGAATCTATATAATGAAACTATGATGCAATACAGTATATTTGGGCTTATAATATTATCAATCTTAGACAGCTAACTTCACAATAACAGAACGTGCGAACATGTCGGACTCACCAACCTTATCGATTATTGACTTGTTCGGATTATTATCTGCCACTTCCGATGTATTCTTATGCATGCAAATAAATGAGTCTTGTCCCTTAAGTTGATATACAAACAAATGCAGGAACATATCAGCCTCGATGAGAGTTTATGAGATATACATTAAGTCAAAATAAAATAAAAAAACCTTTGAACTAATCGTTGGTCCAGAAAGTTACTCGTCGCTTGTAGACAAATACGTCGGATCTCAGGATGAATCGAAGTCTACATCATTATTTCCAATAAGCTCGTTTTGACTTAATAACATCGATCCCTCATTTTCCAAAAGTCTTCCCCGAAGAAATTCAATTCCTTCATCTTTTTCCTCGTCCAAGTAGAGGCCCTTGAAAGAATTTTGTATTTCGTGTTTCAATTGATGGCACATATTTAAATGATTCAAAAAATTTGTTTACCTCCTCGGTAAGATGCTTGGCCTCTCTGATCATCTCCAACAATGGGTCATTATAATCAGAGATCATGTGGGTGTTCTCGGTAGAGGAAGGTGGTATTGTGGGTAGAAGGGTAAGGCTATCACTACTGGACTCTTGTGATAGTGAGGGAGAACGATCTCTTTCTGGAGTTAAAGATAAGGTTTGCTTCTTAATTCTACGAGAAATATTTGAATTATTTAATTTCGAAGTAAAATTTAAAGCAGAGAATACTGGTTTTCATGTTTTGACCTCGATAATAGATGTCATCACCTTTTATTTTCGCTATCTTCATCAACCACATTATCTCGCGTTCTCTTTGCACCAGTCGTTGGGGAGTTTGATGAACCTTTGCTTTCTTTCAAATCGGATTCCTCCGATAATGGCACAACGTAAAAATTTACATCCGCAAGTTTGTTATACTATGTTTATAAAGAATATGATTTCATAAGATGACTTTGTGGGTCATTTTTATATTTATTTTATTATTTTTTTCCACTTACAGTAATGGACATGGATATCCAGTTTGGTTGAAGGACAAAAACTCCCTAGATGGAAAATCATTTGATTCTTAAATTCGCGTGTTTAAAATATGCGAAAAAAAATATCGAAAAAAAATGCAGCAATACCTCAAGACATTTCTTATTGATAAGACCTAAGGCATCGTGCACATTTTTTCTCGGAAGTGAGGTTATCACGTGAGTAACATTTGAATCGAAGGAATCGACTATCTTTCCGCCTTTGGCCTTTACTTTTTCTTTCATCAGATCCAGGCGAACAGTGTCAATATCATTTCGAATGTACAAAATATTGAGTCCGGAAAAGATCCCATGAGAGTCGGACGGTAGAGAGGATGATAAAGTAGAGTTTTCTAAGTATTTCTTTTTCCTTCCACGCTTCGGTAGAGGATTTCGCTCTTTTGATGTGATGGGTACTCTTTGCGAAGGCACGCGTAAATCCAATCCTTTCTTGGATTTAGAATTTTTCGTTATGTTACCGGTGATGTTCGGTTTATTACTTGGCAAAATAAGTTTATAAATGGTCTTGGGTTTACTTTCACGTGGTTTTGCCTTGAACGAAAGGGATGATAATCGTATCTCGGGAGCAGGCAGAGAAGCTTTTTTGCAAGCCTGTCGATCATGGTCATGTGATTGTGATTCGATAACAGTATCATCGACATCTTTAATGACATCTTTAACGATATCATCAAGTTTTCTTTTATTTGGCGCTAACTTTACATTTGACATCGATTCAGCATCAATCAAGTCTGTTAGGATGTCACTATCTTGTGATGAGATTATACCCAAGGCGTCCAATCCATTCATTAGCGATGAACTTAGTTGCGATGATACTCCCTTATTTATATTCAGATCGCGTTTTTTTACCAAATGACGTGTATGGTAAATTACCATATATCGCATATACAGTAGATTATGCACTGCGCATGAATTAAACAGCGAAAATTTACCTATTAAGTATTACGTACATTGACCATTACCCGAACTATGCGTAATTTATTTCTATTCATCCTAAAAAAACAATAATCTGTGATAATAATAAGTTTGTATCAAATACTCTTGGCGTTATAGTAAATCGCGAGGCGATAGACTTAAAGTATTGCTATAAATTATCCTCCGATTATTAAAATTAATTCCTATTACTTTTATTATACTGTCGATTAATATTTTAAAACATATAACCAATACTAAAGATAAAATACTGTATATTCTTTAAAATATTTTTAATTTCATATTTTTGAATTGTAAAAACGTATCAAATTTTCATGTTTTAACCATTTGAAATTCACTATACAAATACAGTATTTTATATTAAAAACCCTTTTTTTTTTTTATTAATGTCTTTACGTAGATATATACCGTACAATAGCTTCCCAAAGAAATTAAATATTAAATATATTATCAATGGAAAATTTTTAAAAATCGCTAACAGGCGAGACTTTATTTAAACTTTCGTTTACTGTCATTACATTTAAATCTAAAAAAAGATTTTTGTTTATTTCTTATTTTATAAATTTATAAAAAAATTTTTGAATTTTTTTTAATTAATATAATTTATTATACGATATTTATAGTTTTCTTTTGACGTTTAACTCACCTGACATAAATTATTGAAATATTAAAATTGAAAAACAACAATATATTATTTTGAAATAATTTGTAATTTTGTAATTCATAAAATTTATTTAGTAAAAAAATTATTTAAAACTATTTAATATGCCAATTCTTTTTTTTATATTAATTTATAAATTAAAATATTTGTAATTATTTGTAATAACAATTGTTGTTTTCTTTTTATTTTTAATCCTGCAATTAGTTAATATAAGTGTTTATTAAATTATATGAAATGGATTCAATTAAAAAAATAATTATTATGTATATATCTACTAGATTCCATTAATTATCAATAATATACAATATGTTTGTTTATAAATTATAAAAAAATCAATTGTTTACCTACAAATAAAAAAATTAAAATTTTTAATATCTCATAAAATTATTATTTACAAATTATCTTTATAAACCATATACTATAAATTTAAATTAAATTCTTTAAAATAAAAACAAATCCAATGGTATTTATTTTTGAAACTAAATAAATTGTAATATATGTTTTTAAAAATAATAAAAATTAATATACATAGATTATTATATATTACTGTTTTATTTTAAAACATAATTGTAAAAAAAAAAATTGAAAAAAATTAACTATAAAAATTAATCAAATTATAATATACAGTATATTAAATAAAAAATATTAATATTTAAATTTTTTCACTATTATACCTATCATTTTATTATTTTCAAATATCATTTTTTATAATTCAGTTTGTTCAAAAAGTCTTTGAACAAGTAGTTTTTATAATAATAAATATATTTAATACAAAACTTTAAATATATATTTTTTAAAATATAAAAATAAAATATAAAGTTTTTTTTAATTCTTGATTAATAAATTTATTATAAAATTTAATTTTTAAATTAAAAAATTTTGATTAAAAATTTATATATAAATTGTAATCAAAAAATAATTTTGAATATATAAAATTTTTTTAAAAAAATTATTTATAAAATTAAAAAAAATAATTAACTAATAACAAAATTATAAAATGTTTTTATAATATACAAATTAATTTTATAAAAATTATTTTGTCTTTTATTTTATAAAATAAATTTTAAAAAAATTTTGATTTTTAATTTTTATATTTTTTATTAAATTTTAGATTTATTTATTTAATTGAAAATTAATTAATTGGTTTAAAATTAATTAAAAATTATTTTTTACTTAATTTGATTTATTTTACATATTTATAAATAAAACTATTGTATATAATTTATATGTTTATTTATTATAAGTAAATTAAATTAATACTAAAAAAAACTTTTCCAAAAATCACAAATTTTCTAAAAAAAATTTTTTTGATAATACACAAAAAACATCTAAAGAAACATCAAAAAAAGCACTTAAAAAAAATCTTTACTAAAAAAAAAGAAAAAACAAGAATACAATTTATAGTTAAATAAAAAAGAAAATTGGCATTATATTTCACAAGTTATTAACCATTTGTGTAACAGATTAGATACCTCTCTAGATACTAGTAGAACTTGATATCAGTTAGATATACTTAATAAATCAGGTAACATTATATAATACAAATTTGAAATAAAATTTTGTAAATATAAATTCTTAACTCTAAATATTTTAAAGTCTTAAATTCATAATTGATTGAAAACTATATTTATAAATCTAATCTCTGACAAGAGTTTCATATTTTATATCTCATTTGAATAAAATATATTTTATGTTTTGTACCTTATTTTTAATATATTTTGATTAGAGTTATTTTATATTACTTTGTTTGTTATTAAAAAACAAAAGGAAATAATAAATAGATATAAAAAAATATAATAAATATCTTTAATCTTTTCTCTGATATGTAGCAAGCTAAAATATATATTATTTCATTAAATCTAATGAAAAAAATTCTAACAAAATTTTATATAATGGTAAATAATTAAATCTAATAATGTCTAATTGAAAATTTAATATATCAATAGGAGAATTAGAACAGAAACAATTATAGTACTAATATATAGTATATTAAATCTTTATAAATATATTTTTATATATAAGTTAAATATAACTAAAAAAAAATTATATATTACAATATTAAATCAAAATTGTATAGCAAAATAAAGTTTTAAATCATTTTTCAAAAAATTATTCTTGATATTTAATATTCTAAATCAAGTTTCTAATATATAAAAAATATAATCTTAAGTTTAACCTCTTGATATCAAAATTGATTTTGATATTTAACACTTTATATTAAGTTTTTGATATACAAAAATTTATCAAAATTGATAATATAATAAGTCTAATAAAACTGTATTAGGTATTTAATACATTCAATATATTATTTAATATTTTTAAAACCTTAATATTATTAGGATAAAAGTTGAGCTGATTAAACTGCAAATGCAATTTCACATATCATGTCTAATCAGAAACTTAATCACAAGTAGATCTAGAAAGCGTGAAGTTTAAAATTAGAATTACAATTATTATAAGTCTAGAATAGTCTATAGTAATGAATCACAAGAATGACATCACAATAAGCAAAAAAGATGAGAGTCATAGATAAATAAATAAATAGAACAAAGTAGAAGAGCGCAACACTTAATATGATACTTAAAAGCAATACTTAAAGCAACACTTAAAAGCAATACTTAAACTAATACTTAAAATAACACTTAAAGCAACACTTAAAAGCAACACTTAACTAATACTTATCTGATACTTATTGAATAGCAAGAAAGTGTGTGACAGTTAATTAATTAAAAATAGTAGAGTTAGGAAAAAGGAGTACAAAATAAAGACAAACTGTTTCTAAATTGGGATATTCCTTTTTAGGCTATACAATAGATATTGCCTTAAAAGGAAAAAACTAATTAAATCTTACCTGAATCCAGTACTTATTAAGAAAGAGGAAAACACCAGGATCCCCAAAAAATAGAAAAATGGGAAGATTGTCAAGAAAGCACAGCGATAGAAAGAAAAAGAAAAGAAGAATTAGGAAAAATACCCCATTTTGGCCAAGTCAATAATACATATCTCAAGGAAGCCTTAACGTACTTACCATGAATGTGACGCAAGCTTGCGACGGAAGTGACAGACTTGCCAAAAATAATCTCAACAATACATAATTTTTGATAGTATTAAAACAATATAAAACTCTCTGATATGTAAAGAGTAATAACTGAAAATTAATCTGATAGTTTTTCTACAAGCACTACAAGGGATATATTTTTTAGTTTTCCAATAAAATCAATATCTCTCTAATTAAATACAAGATTTAGAGCAAACAATATTAGAATTATAAATATATAAATATAAATATTTATCAACTATTTTTATAATATATTGTTAATGTCTTTTTTGACAAGTTTGTTGCTTTGAAGCTATTTTCATGTCATATCAGATAAGTTTTTAGCTTTTTTACTTGAGATATATAATTTTTGTTTAGCTGAATCTTGCTAATTCTTTTTTCTCTTTTCATTGTTGCTTCTTTTAACAAATCTTTATTACTTTCTCTTTATAGTTCTAACTGTTCTATTTTATAACAAGTATTGAATTATATAAGCTAATTAAATCTTACTCTTTTTCATAATATCAATACATTAATCACATGTTTTAATTGAAAAATTTTAAATTAAAGAATGGTTTTTTTATTATTCTTTATACTTATTGGTATATTTTTTGTTACTATTAATCTTGTCTCTTGTGTATTATATTTAATCTTGTTTTTTCTAGAAGTATGTTATATAATTTATATTTCTTCTCTTCTTTTTATATTAGTATAATGTATTCTTATTGGCTAATATCATATTATATAATTCTACTAAGTTAAAATAGACTATTGCTTATTATTAACTATTCTAATTAATAAATTATTCAAAAATATAACTAATACAAACTTCAAAAATAATATTATAATCTAAAATATCACTATAAACTATTAACTATTAATTGTCAAAAATTGGAACATGTGATATAATAGTTTAAGAAAAGATCATAGTGGTTATCAATAATTTATTATTATTAAGGAAAACTTTATTAATATAAGAGTGGAGCAGATAACTCTAAAGATAATTAAAGAAAAAATACAATAGAAATCATATATCATTGATCCACTCTTTAAAAATTCAAATGTAATTCAAATGTTTTAAAAATATTAGGACAAATAGTTTATCACAATTCTTGATCCTCTAATTTTTTTCAAGTTTTTGTAATTGCTAGAACAAAA